CACCTCATGCCCTTTCCCAAAGTACCTGTCTGCTTGTGTGCTAAGTCGCTTCAGTCATGTCCAACTCTTTGTGACCCTTTGGACTGCAGTTCTCCAGGCTCCTCTGTCCACAGGATCCTCCAGGCAAGAATCCTGGAATGGGTTGCCATGCCCTCCTCTAGGGGATCTTCCTGACCCAGGGATCGAACCTATGTCTCTTAGGTCTCCTGCCTGCAATGGCAGGCGGGTTCTTTACCACCAGCGCCACCTGCGAAGCCCAGAAACCCACCTGTCTGTTAACCGTCCATCGTCTCTCTCTGTCAGCCCAGCTTTGGGTCCCTGAACTGCGTCCAGATTTGAAGACAACCCTCTCAGTAGATATGCTGTCTTCCTCTGCTGCCTGCTCCACCCCTGGAAGCATGAATTTCAGCAGGGGCATTCCCCCAGCACTAAAAAACCTGGGAACCGAAAACAGCCGCCCTCCCAGCACAGCCAGTCCTTGGTGAAGAAAGAGTGCCCTCTAGTGGGCCTTGTGTGGAGGTGCTCTGGATCGGTGGCAGGGCTCAGCCAAGGACAAAACGGCCCGCTTGCTGCCCTCCTGCCAAGGATCTTGAAGCTGCCTTCGGGTTTGGTTTGTTTTTCTCCGTGTGTGGAGAAACAAAGAAGGAACATCAGGAGACCAGTTGTGAGAGCAGCCCCGACTGTGCCGTGACAGCCTTCTTATCTTGGGAGGCTCACCAGAGAATTAACCTCAGGGCCAGTGATGGCAGCAAGGTAGATGGTGACATCAGATGCTTTTTAAAGGGCCTGTGACAGTTTCTGTATACATCACTCACCTGTCTTGACCGATCTCTCGTATGAGGGGTTAGATTTGTGAGAAGGAAACTCCTTCTTTAAGAATCATTACCGAAAAGGTTAAATATCTTGTTGCATGACCCTCTTTGCAGAGCAAATCCACTGCAGTTGATTTTATTTTTGGTAATGGAAGGGTACCAGTCTCACTATTAAAATCCTGTAGGTACTGGCATAAACAGGGGTTTTTCCCTTTAAACCTGAGTAAAAGCTGTCGGGCTGGGGAGCAGAGAGGGGAGGAGGTGAGGGAAGCTGCAGGGCGCCCATCAGGGGAGCAGGAACCTGATCACATGTGATGGTTGCTGGATTAGGTAACAGCTCCGCTGGTTGAAATTGGATCTTGGAGGATGAGTGTTAACATCTCTGGTGTCCTGGTGAAAGGTTCATTTGAGACTTGCGTGGTGCCACAGAGATAAAAAAAAAGAGCTTTTAAATAATCATTTTGTCTCCTATTTGGCAGAGTGCTGGCTTCAAGCAGTAAATAGGCAGCATCACTTTGGCTTAGACATATCGGCCTTTTCATTTATTTATTTAATGTGGGTGGGATTTTTTTTTAACCCACTAGCTGAACAGCTTTCCATGTCAGTGACTCCCAACGCCTGTCTTTATAGTGGTGCATCCAGACCCTGCTCTTTTGGGACAGAAATCTGTCCATGCTGTGTGGTTTATTGGTCCATCCGGGCCTCATCGCAGTACACATACACAGCCCAGGACCCTCAGAGCCAGAATCTTCTGTGTTAGATAGTGGAAGAGGAAGGTTTTCTTTTGTTTATATTGCATGCGTGTGTACGAATAGTTTTTGTGGTGGTGGTTCTGATACATGCTCTGAAATTTCTGTCTTCCTAATGATTTGAGTATAATTTGAGGGGTATAATGTGGAGAGGACTGTTGGGTTTGTTTTTCCTACATTTTCTGTTTTTTTATTTTCTTCAAATCTCTGGTTTGGGGCCAATTTATGTGTCCTGAACTCTAAGGATAAATGCAAGCAAGGTGCATTTCATTTCTTTCATAACTATTCCTTCTTGGCCACATTTGGAAACCTATTATATTAAATCTTAGTGATTCCAAATTTCTTTTTAAAGAGTGTTTGTTTCCAGGACTCATCAAATGATAGGAAAGCTAAGCAAAAGGATAGCACTGTTACTATGTGGTGGTTTTCCCCCCTACTAAATGTATCCAGTAGCGTAGATTAGGGCTCTGCCCTCTGTGACTGTCCTGGGACTTCTTTGGCGGGTAAGGCATTACATGTCTGCTTTCAGTGTCCTTGGCAGCTTTAGCATTTCCTTTATTTCATTTAAAAGCAGTTCGATTTTCAGATCAAGAAAAATACTGAGCAGGTAGGTGTACAGACTTTGTGCGGACAGTTCATGCTCCCCATTGATTGTTTGAAAGAAAAAGTGCGGCATGGATGTGGGTGCAACTGAGGAGAGCTGGCAAGGGAAGATATTCTTTGAGGTAAATGTTGGGCACATGGGAAGTTCTAGCAGTAACATGACCACCTGGTCACCCACCTCGTACCTGGAGGACTCAGCACCAGCACTTTGTTCTGTGTCTGCCCGACTCCTTTTCTGTCTCATTCTTTTCAGAACTAATGGAATTTTGCTAGAGGAATAAGTTAACGGGCTGAGTGAGTTGGTCTTAGCGACCATCCTTACCATCCCCTCGGATAAGACGGTGTGTAGGTAGCCCCAGGAAAGTATATCCTCACCCGTTGACATTATTCTCTTTTACTTTGCTACCACTGTTAAGACCTGTCAGTGCTGGATCTGTCAGCAAGAATTGTTTTGGAGTGATGAGGAGGAGCCGCTTGGAGGCGTCACGGCCCGGCTCAGATGTCACCAGCCTCAGCATCTTGAGGAGGCTTCCCATCGGCCGAGGTTTGTGGCCTCTTCTGGGGCGTATTGGTCATGGGATTCCAGAGAGTAGATTAGTGTCAAACTTTGCCCCAGCACCAACTTTTTTTAATGATTAAGTAGAAGTGCCACAATTACCAAGTGGCTCAGAGGTGATTCTTTTTTCAATCTTAAATGACCCATAAGTATTTTGTTGATAAAGCAGTTAAAATTCATTCAATGAAATTCACTGGGGAAACATCCATAAACCCCACACACTAATGTCCTCACCTGAAAGCATTCTCTGGGCTGTACAGGTGAGGAAGGAGCGGTTCTGGGGCTCTACCACCACCTGCTTGGGGGGTCACATTCTTCTCCCTGCCACCCCACACCTTTAGGGGCTGGTACTGCAGCATTCATTTCCTTTCTTAAGGAAATCTTTGTTAGTGGTGATATGTTCTTCTGAGGACTTTGGAGATTTGAGTAAATAAGTTCAAGGAACTGAATAACATGATTAAATCTTTCTTATTCTGAGATCAGGGGGACAATTTCCCATGTAAGGCTTCTGAGTCTACAAAAGAGGGATTTCATTGGAAAAATGTCCACAAAATTAAACTCCACAATCCTCTAACCTGTGCTGTCACCAATATAGCAATTTTATTTTAGGGCAGCAGAACATTAAAAATTCAGTTGCGAGAGGAGAGCCTGGGTCCTGAAGTGCGGGCTGTTCTGTATCCTTCTTTCTTCCCCTCCTCCTGAATTTTCTCGCTTCCTCAAGGGGTGCATGTGTCTACCCCGGGCCTTTAAGCTGCCGCCCCAGTCCACGTGCTTGACCGTCCATTTGACTGTCTCGTGTTTCGCAAAAGCAATGATGCCATTTTCCTTTAGCGCAGGACTCAGGCTTTCCTTGAAACAACTTTCAAGGTTGCTTCTTGTCAGACCTGTTAGAAGCCAGGAGCATGTGGGCACAGCCAGCAGTTACGCTGGTATTACAGGTGATGGAATGCCCCGAACGTCTGCATGGCCCCTGGGGTTGAGCTCAGATCCGCCTTTCCTGTCACTGTCCCCGTGGGGCTCAGCAGATGCGTCCTGGCCAGACGCAGTTCTGGGCCCGGCCCCCGGGCTCTGCCATCCCCACGCCCAGGGTTAGAACGAACACAGTCTGCTGCTTCTCCAGTTACAGCCCTCCTTCCCCGCTCTACCCACAGTTTTGTTTTTATTAATTGGATACTTTTTTCCTGTTCACTCTCAACAAAGACGTGGCTGCTGACGACTAACCTGGGTTTAGACGAGTGATTTACTTTATGGAAGGTTGTATGAAGGTAGTAAAACGAGACTGCCTAGCTCTTCCACTGGTTTACTAAATCACTTGATCTCTTTCAGTCCAAATCACCCCTTCCTCCCCCACAAATGGTCGTGGGGGATTCATAAAAAGGAGCCCTTCATGGAGCCCAGCCTCCTTCATCCTCTCAGAACCCCAGCTTCTCTGAATCCCTGAGGCAGCTTGTTTAAAGGATCTCACCCTTGTTTGTACCAGGACGGAGTTCTTACCACCCGGGATAAATTGATCTCAATTTTGGAAACTAGAAATCCCTAGTCCAGGGGAGAGGTCTTCACACATCACTCAAATTAACTGAATTTGCCTGACTTAGGTTATTTTGGAAATGAAAATTTAGGCTGATCCAATATCATAAAGTCAATGAGTGTAAAAACTTTGTAATAACAAACTCACAGGCATCTAAAATTAGAAATGAGAAAGGAAATGCTATTCCTTGCATTAAAATTTGGCAGTTTGGGGATGAAAGTGAAAATTATATTGTTATAATTTTTTTTGTGTGGATTTGAAATTTCTTTCAATTGTGGTAAAAGATACATAACAGAACTTAGCATTTTAACTGTTGTTGACTGTACAGTTAAGTGGCATTATGTACGTTCACATTGCTGGGCAGCCATTACCACCGTCCATTTCAAGAACTTTTTCTTCTTCCCAAAATGTAACTCCATACTGGTTCATTACTCGCTCCTTATTCCCCGCTTCTCCCAGCCTGTGGTACCCAGAGGCCTGCTTCCAGTCTCCATCAGTTTGACTGTTACAGGCACCTCATATGAGAGGAGTCTAATTAATTTCAGAAACAAATCGATCTCTCCTTGCATTTTCTAGTTCTCCCATCCCTCTCTTTTTCCAGCCCTTTGCACGCTCATTGCTCAGATACCGTTTTGTTAAATAATCTGATACTTCTAAAGCCAGATCATATATTGGGAGTTTTCTGTTGTTTTTAAATTTTACTTCGTTGGGTTACTGTCAACACCTCCCCACTCTTTTGTATCTTCCTGCAGTTTTGAGTATCCGGGGAGCCCAGGAAGAGGAGCCCACAGACCCCCAGCTGATGCGACTGGACAACATGCTGCTGGCCGAGGGGGTGGCGGGGCCCGAGAAGGGCGGAGGCTCCGCGGCGGCTGCTGCGGCGGCGGCTGCTTCTGGAGGCGCAGGTTCCGACAACTCCGTGGAACATTCCGATTACAGAGCCAAACTCTCACAGATCAGACAAATCTACCACACGGAGCTGGAGAAATACGAGCAGGTACTCACAGCCTTGTGGGGTCTGGGCCCTCCCCAGCCCTTTAGGGCAGGGCGGAGAAATCATGCAACTCCGAGCTAGGAGGGGATGGAGGCAGGTAGCCTTTCCTGGAGATGGCCGTCGGGGATCCAGTGTTTCTGGCTTCCCCCCAGAGCCGCTTTTTTGAACTTGAGCCCATCAAGTCCAGGGTCTCCACTATTGAAAACTCAGGCAAACTGGAGATAAGATCATTTTAAAAAATCGTTTTAAAAAAACGGCTTTAATTGATGATTTTAGGAAACTGAGTCTGTATAAGGAAACAGCCCCTGGCACTCCAGAGCGGTGTCCCTTTTGGGTGCAGCTCTGGGGCTCTCGGTATGATAGTCATGGGCAGAGTCACCAGCTGACCTGGGGAGGTGTGTGTGGTGGGGGTCCCCTGGGCCTTGTTTTCGCATTGATTAGGAGGCTACCTCACCACCCGGGGCTCATGGAAGCCTATGGGAATGGATACTAAAACTTGACCTTAAATTCCTTCACTCTGCTCAGATTAGTTCAAATGAAAGTCCATCACACTCTGACTTTTATATATAGTACATAATATGATACACATCTCCCGCTATAAAAAAAAGTCGAGGGTCTCGGGGGACCCCTGGAGGTAGACAAAGTTGAATTCCAGCCCTGACAGTACTGACGGTCTGTGGGATCCAGTGGTCCACCTTCTTTACCTCAGTAGCTGGTAGTATTCAGCAAAGAGCTGTGGATTTGGAGCCTAAGCTATCAGAGAGCCATAAAAAATCATATGAAGGAAAAGCTTAAGAAAGGCTGTTAAGTCATAAAATAGTATATAGATGTTGCATGGTATTCTAATTATAACAGCACCCCTCTCTGCTAGAGCACCGCCCCCCCCCCCCATGAATTTAAATGTCAATATTGTTTCCTCTGGTCAGTATGAGCAACACTATTTTACTAGGGGTCCTTTAACATCAGGATTTCCTCCCATTATTTAGCTGACATTAGTTGGTTGTCATATTGTTGGATGTGACATTGTCCTGAAATTCTAAGTTAACGTACTTTCATAGAATTGTTAAATTTCTGACTTTCTTTCTTTTTTAAGAATCATAGAAGAAGAGGGAGAAAAAAAATAAAAAAGTAGAAGACCCTGTACCGTCCACTTAGGACTGTCTAAGTAAAAGGCAAATGCAAACTTAATAGAATATATAAATTTTAAAATAGAAATAGGCATTTTAAAATTTAAAGTGAAGAAAGTTTCATTATTGCACTCCTATCTACCTTTGAAATAGATTTCTACAAAGTCTTTTCTTTTATGAGGGAAAAGATTACTATGAAGCTGGAAGCCAAGTGTGGTGAATTTCAGCCACAGGACAGGTGTAGGGAGGAGGCAAGGGGAGCAAAATAAAAGTCATTTTGTGGTAAGAACCTGTGGATCATCACCCTCGACCCTCTCGGGGAAGAACAAACATTCTTATCATGATGTAGACTCTTTAGACATTTTATCAGATCCCAGGAGAGGCTCAGCTCAGGTAAGCTGGCTGATCCATGACCATTTCCCCTCCTGGGCCATCACGTTAGAGTTCACAGCCTGCCCTAACCAAGGGGATAGTTTCGGAAGACTCACAGGGACGTTTCCTATAAAGGTCCCTAGCTAGCCACTTGGGTTCGTCCTCCCGTGCGTTTCCTATTGCCTTCACCACTGAGCTTGGTCTCTGGCATAAGAACCTATCTAGACCTGGTATCCACGTTAACTCGTCCCAAACTCCAGGGGCACAAAGAGTGTGGCTTCCTCCCAAACCTACAACTGAGATGGATATTAGGCTGGATGGTGTTAAAAACTAGCTTTCTTCGTAGCTCAGGTTGCCAGCAACAAAGAGAACAGACTGTCTTCTTGATTTAACCGCCCCTTGTTCCTCTTCCATCTTCTTCCAAAATGTCTAAAGCACTTTTATTAACCTAACTGCACTTGTTCCAGCACTTTTATGGCTGTCATCATCTCCATTCTGATACAGGTGAGGAAATAGAGGTCAGAGAGGTTAGATGATTTATCTGGGTCATACATCCAAGGAGGGACAGATTACCCTGGAATCTAGATTTGGACCTTTAGCCCAAGGCTGTTATTGGAGCAACACTCAGCTCCACTTAATATGGAACGAGTGTGGGTGTCTGTAGACAATGAAGTAACCGGCCTGTCCTCGCTGGTACTTTCATGGAATAGATTGATGCTCTCTAAGAGAGACTAGTGATAAAAATACTCTCCTTAAGAAACTTCTCTTAGATACCTACATATTCTGAAGAACAACAATGCTGGAAATTGGGAACTTACACTGTATCCATTTTGCTGATGGGTGGGGCTGCATTCCCTCTCTGTTACTAGTTTGGTCTGAGGTGACCCAGTCCTGAAGTCTGCAGGCTGGATGGTAGGGTTAACGGCGACCTCTGGGAGGATTTATGTCAACATGCGTCTCCCACAACTGCTGGCGCCAGTGTCCCGTCCCTGCGGCGGCCGCTATTGACCCACGCCTCCGCAGGAGACCCTCAGACCTTCACCGGCAGGTCTAGTTCAGTCTCTTGTGGGATCAAGTTAGGTCAAGGTAGCAATAGAAGTCTGTATTTATTACTCTTAAGAAGGACTAAGAGATTATTGCCTTATTTCTTTGGGCATTTTCTGGGTAGGAACTGAATACTGTTTAACACACTGTGTGCTTAATAATTTATTAATATTAGTTGTATTGTTAATTAGAGTAAATGGCAGATTGTGAGGAAATTATGCCATTAACCTTCTAGCTAGCAAGTCTGAAAGATAGATCTTCTTCATTTTTTCTGTAAGCATTCCTCAAGGGACCTTTTTAAAAAATAGGAAACCTTAGTAAAAATGTCAGTCTCTTTTAATAGTACCTAGATGGTTACCGGATTGACTATTTAAGAGTTGATTCTGTTGTTTTGGTTTGTTTTGTTTTTAGTTTGGTGATGATAGATAACCAGAGGATCAATTAGCTCTCCAGTAATTAACTGGGGTAACCCTCCTCACCCCCTCTCAGTCATCATGTGCTCCCCGCAACCCCCACCAAAAAGACCTGAATCAGCCACTGTTTCACCCTGAGGTTATTAGATAAAGAAGGCTTCTAGTGACTTTCATTAGAAAGAAAGGAAGGAAATTGTTTTATTCATTAAAAAGGACTGGTAAACACCTTTTCAGTCGATCATGTTGGTAGCCAAGGTATTTAAGAGCTAGCTAAAAAAAAGAAAGCTGGCATATTTTGATAGATAAAACCAGGATATCAGAAAACTAAATTTTCTTCCAAGTGCTATTCAAAAAAACAAAAAAAGATACTCTTGTAGCTTTGCAGAGTTCTTCAGTTTTTGTAAGCAGTGCTGCCAGGACATTGACAAGGCTTAGTCTCCAAGGCTGAACTGGGGTGGGTTAAGTAGTCCTTTCACAGCCAAGGAAGTCTTAAGATCTCAGTCCTATTCCTTGCTGAAATTGGCAGCCAAATCCAGTTTGAAAGACTTAGAGACGAAGATGAGCTGAAGAGAGTGCAGGAAGGAAGCTTCAATTCTAGGATTAAATTGCTTATACTAAGCAAGATTTGTGAAGAGCTTCCTTTGGGTCGGCCGCTCCTCAAAGTGCCCCTGCCCTGGAACCCGGGACGTCTCCAGAGGCAGCTGGAAGGGTAGGACCTGCAGCCCGGCCCGCCACTCCTCTCTGAGGCCTCAGAGACTTCCAGCCCACTTGCTGCCAGGCTTTATCCTCCCTTTGTGGTACAGCTTAGGGGTGAAGGGGCTGTTTAGGTTGGGGAGAGATGAAGCTTATAATAAGATCTTGTGTTTAGGTAGCAATTTTCATAGTAAGGGCAAAATGCTCTATGGACCTGATCTTCTGTGGGTTTCATCTTCAGCGTATATATACCTGCAGAGTAGAAAGAAGCTATTTGTGACCTCCTTTATTTATACCACAAGGGAAACTGAAGCCTGGAGAGGTTTGCCCCACTGTGATCATATGCTGGGTTTCTGAGTTACCTATACTTGAAAAAGATAAGGACACACGATATGGCCAGACACACAGTAACTTATCCTGTCCACCACAGTCTTTGAGGTACTGTCCTCCTCATTTCACAGATAGGAAAGAGAAGACACAGGGATCTTACATGACTGACCAAAGCCCCACAGTGAAGTGAGTTTCTGGGCAGGGTGTGAACACAGGCAGTCTGCGCTCTTAGCTGCTGCCCTGTTCAATGTGAGTGATTTACTCCATCCACAGGTCACCGTACAAGGACTGTGAAGATTGCTGGCCTTGCTAAAGGGGTAGGAATGATTAAATCCACTCTTGGACAAATAAAACAAGGCGCTGAGTAGTGAAAGCAATTGCCCACATGCTCATGGAGACAGAGTCAAAGACCAGGCTTCCCAGCCCGCAGTGTAGACACAGCCCAGTGGATGTCTACTGATGTATCTTTGGCCAGCGAACCTCAAAGGATTTCTTGGAGAAGTGAACAGTGAATGTGTTACTGTTACTGTATAACCAACAGCTAGGAAGAACTTTGTGTTGTGAAAAAACAATAGCAGTGCAGTTATAGCATTAATGAACATGATTCTGCGGTATTAAGTGGGACACTTTGAGTCCTTAGTTCTTCAACCTTCAGAGCATCAGCTTCCCTTTCTTGCTAACAAATTTTACACGGTTTTCCAACACAGCTATGAGTTAAGTGTGAGTAGATGTTTTGCTGAATGTTCCTTAAGAAAACCAGACTACAATGATAAGTGATAGTAACTAAAGGAAAGGGCAGCGGTGGTCCAAGGAGCAAGTCCAGAGTCTGGGAAAGAACAGAAGTCTTGGCCTGGTTTAGGGAGTATTCAGGCTGCTTTTTGCTGTGGGCCTTCATCTCTTGGGCACAGTTTTCCCAACTGTAAAATAAGGAGGTGGGATAAATGATCTCCAGTTTCACTTCCAGAGCTGATAGTATATTGGTCTATAACCTGAGAGTTTTCTGTCTGCAGAGGCATTTCCTAAATCCTCTAAATCATGTTTTGAATTTGTTTCTATACAGATTCCCTTTGTGTTATAGACATAGAGGATCTTCAGAAGACCAGCATAGGAGGGAGTTCTTATGTTACAGCTAGAAGTAGATTAATGAGAATCTCACAGAAGAGTCATCAGAGCTTTTAACTCAGTGATTCCATTCTTTGGAGTCTTTATGCCAAATTGAATATTTGGAAGCTTTAGCATAACAGAAATAAGGGCAAAGCAGAAAGTTCATGCTGTTTTTGACTTCAGATTCTCTTTAGCTGTTAACATGGGAGTGAAGGGTTGTGAAGTTTTATACTAACATACATGTCTTCATCTTTCATAATAGTAAAATCATAAAAAAATTGATTTTGAAAAACTATTGTAAATTTTCTTCTCCCCTTTAAAAAAATCCACATAGTGATGAAAATTATAATCAAATGGGCTGAAAGGGGTTTCTGGGCATCTCTTTTTTTTTTTTTTTTGACAAAAATGCCACAAGCTAGCCCAGTTTTCTTTACCTGTACACGTCTCTAGAAAGACCTACACAGCCTCACAGCAAGGACCCTTACCACGCCCCGTGTCTGTCCTCCTCTGTTCCAGGCATGTAATGAGTTCACCACCCACGTGATGAACCTCCTGCGGGAGCAGAGCCGGACCAGGCCTATTTCCCCAAAGGAGATCGAGCGGATGGTCAGTATCATCCACCGCAAGTTCAGCTCCATCCAGATGCAGCTCAAGCAGAGCACGTGTGAGGCCGTCATGATCCTGCGCTCCCGGTTTCTGGATGCACGGTGAGTGCCCAGGAGAGGGCTGTCCTTTGGGAGAACCGCCGAGTCAGGGTTGGAGGCCAAGGCTGGCCCTCTCCAGAGGCCCCGCTGTGACTGTGTTCAAGGCTGAGCCAAGTAATAGCCTGAGGGAGGTCAGGGAAGGGAAGGCTGCAGGGGTGGATAACCATGGGTTTTATACAACTCCAGGAAAATGTGGGGATGGGATATTATTTGTGGCCACTGCTACTCACTCTGCATGAGAAATGAGGATGATTTAGCTACAGGGACAGAAGCAGGACTTTTTGTTTTCATACCATTAGTGGCCTCTTCACAGGAATGGGTTGTAACTATAAGCCCGTAGAAGGCTAACCAGATATTGCAATGACATCTTTTCTTCAAGAAAGATGGTTCCAGTTGAGAGCTGGGAATCTCTGCCACACTTTATGTTGGCAGAGAGGGCACCTAGTTAGCTTCAACGAATATTTATAACTAGATTACCATGTGTCGTACTCTGGGCTGAGTTTTAGCGGCACAAAAATGAAGAAGACGTGGTCCCTTGGGCGTGGAGGGGCAAGGGACTGGTCTCATGTGGGCCAGATTTTCAATCAAGATTTAAAATTTTCTGACACTAACTTGTGACCTAAGTTGTGAGTTCAAAGAATCCAGTTGAAACCATGGATAGAAAAGTCCTTTTAGGACAAAAGCTAAGACTATAGAACAGATAGTCCCACTACTCTCTACACTGATGGATTTGTGCAAATCCCTTTGATTTCTTTGGCTTCTGTTATCTAGCCTGTAAGATAGTGCTAGTCATATCTTTCATGTACTCTAGAAAGTGATGTTGATAATTGATCTAATACATGAGTTTTCAGTGTATGGATATCCTTTGTGATCCACAGCTCACCTTAAATTAGTCATTTTCTATAAATGCAGATTTCATCATTCATTGTTTCAATTCTTGAGTATAATCCCAATATATGATTTTTATTATAAAAACACTAGCTATGTCATGGTCATATACCATTTAATGATCTGTAGTTGAGTTCCTTTTTAGTCAGACACACAGCCTCTCTGCTTTTTCATTTTTTTCCACCCTAGAAATCATGCACTGTTCAGCTCCTTTACCTACACTTTCCTCTGTCTGCACAACTGTGGTCTTTACAGTTCACAGACCTCTTTAAAGCTCCCTGGCATCTCCTAAACTCCCTTTCATTCATTGTGTTTTGGGTCATGTGGAATATGAAATAGGAATGTCAGCCAGCAAACTGTATCTCTGGGCTAACAGAAATACATAAAGTCAAGAGAAAGTGCAAATGAAGAGAGCTTTCTGCAGCGGAGCACAGTGCTGGGGGAAGGAAGGCACAGGCCTGCTGCAGCGGGACACCCCGACCCCAGGTATCTCCCTGGCCCTGTGGCCTGCTGCCAGCCTGGCTTATTTACAGCAGGCTGCTCCCCATGGTATGAAGTGCAAGTGACTGGTGGCCTGTGTCTGGGTCTTTCCCCTGTGTTGTGGCCGCCACACTCTGCATGTGTTGTTTACATCCCCCCGCACGGTAACTCCCCTCATTAAAATGCTGGTGTTGGCATTTATGTTGGCAGATATTGGGGGCATAAAAAAGTTGGGCCCCGACTGGGTTCTTCTCAAGAAAGAAGATATTAGAGAGAAAGGAGGAGCAGAATCATTTTCTCATAGGATTTCTTCTTTCAGGAACTCAGCTGTGCCCAGTTGAAGGTCAGACTCCAAAAGACATGAAACTAGGCAAGCTTTGTACACGGTTCCTTTCACTTCCATCAGCTTTTGCCTAGATTGTTCTAGTTGGCACCAGGAGGACAGTCATCATAAGAGAGGCTCTTTTTCCTGATTTGGTTGCAACCTTTGAATCATTGCCTCTGAGTCAAGGTTCAAAACTAAAACAATTAACCAATTGTCATTGTTATAGCATTTATTTTGAGGGTGTATTTAGTGTCACTGAAAGAATATGACCCCAAATGCCAACACAAGGATGAGCAAATGGTTTTTCCAGCTCAAAAATGAATGTTTGCCTGGACAGCATGATTGAAGTAGTTAATATCATTGCTTCTAGCACTATCTATTATTGGGAAAGCTAGTTAAACACACTTTAGTAAGAAAGACACACTCACTGTTGATATTTACGTGCTGCTCTAATCCATGCATCTGATGGGCAGGGCTTCATTAAGAAAAGATTTCATGGAAGACAAAGGAAATACAAAGGAGACTTGATTTAGTAATAGGATTAGTCTTCATAATATAATGCAGAATTGAATGTTACAGCTTTGTTGTGTAACATTCCTTGTATTTTCTGCTCTTGAAGAACAGATTATGACAAATTTAGCAGCTTAGACTAACACAAAGTTGTCTCACAGTTTCTGTTGTTCAGGAACAACAGGTTAACCTGGGTCCTCTGCCCTAGTCTCACAAAGCTGTGATCGGGGGCTCAGCCGAGGCTGTGCTCACAGCTGAGGCTCATTCCCATGGGGGCAGAATTCAGCTCCTTGTGACAGTAGGACTGATGTCCCCAGCTCTTAGAGGCCGCCTTCCCACTGGCAGGGCTTACTGCTTCTTCCTTTCTTCCTGGGTCATATCACCCTCTTACATCTTTAACCTGATCTCCCATTTCATTAACAAAGTCAGCTGATTAGTAACTTAATCGTAGGAATGATATCCTATCATTTTCACTGTCCCCCCAACACACACATTCAAGGTCAGGGGGGATACCCAAGAGTGGAATCTTACAGATCTTCTTAGGAGTCTGCCTTCCAAGTTGGCAGATATTGGGGGCATAAAAAAGTTGGGCCCCGACTGGGTTCTTCTCAAGAAAGAAGATATTAGAGAGAAAGGAGGAGCAGAATCATTTTCTCATAGGATTTCTTCTTTCAGGAACTCAGCTGTGCCCAGTTGAAGGTCAGACTCCAAAAGACATGAAACTAGGCAAGCTTTGTACACGGTTCCTTTCACTTCCATCAGCTTTTGCCTAGATTGTTCTAGTTGGCACCAGGAGGACAGTCATCATAAGAGAGGCTCTTTTTCCTGATTTGGTTGCAACCTTTGAATCATTGCCTCTGAGTCAAGGTTCAAAACTAAAACAATTAACCAATTGTCATTGTTATAGCATTTATTTTGAGGGTGTATTTAGTGTCACTGAAAGAATATGACCCCAAATGCCAACACAAGGATGAGCAAATGGTTTTTCCAGCTCAAAAATGAATGTTTGCCTGGACAGCATGATTGAAGTAGTTAATATCATTGCTTCTAGCACTATCTATTATTGGGAAAGCTAGTTAAACACACTTTAGTAAGAAAGACACACTCACTGTTGATATTTACGTGCTGCTCTAATCCATGCATCTGATGGGCAGGGCTTCATTAAGAAAAGATTTCATGGAAGACAAAGGAAATACAAAGGAGACTTGATTTAGTAATAGGATTAGTCTTCATAATATAATGCAGAATTGAATGTTACAGCTTTGTTGTGTAACATTCCTTGTATTTTCTGCTCTTGAAGAACAGATTATGACAAATTTAGCAGCTTAGACTAACACAAAGTTGTCTCACAGTTTCTGTTGTTCAGGAACAACAGGTTAACCTGGGTCCTCTGCCCTAGTCTCACAAAGCTGTGATCGGGGGCTCAGCCGAGGCTGTGCTCACAGCTGAGGCTCATTCCCATGGGGGCAGAATTCAGCTCCTTGTGACAGTAGGACTGATGTCCCCAGCTCTTAGAGGCCGCCTTCCCACTGGCAGGGCTTACTGCTTCTTCCTTTCTTCCTGGGTCATATCACCCTCTTACATCTTTAACCTGATCTCCCATTTCATTAACAAAGTCAGCTGATTAGTAACTTAATCGTAGGAATGATATCCTATCATTTTCACTGTCCCCCCAACACACACATTCAAGGTCAGGGGGGATACCCAAGAGTGGAATCTTACAGATCTTCTTAGGAGTCTGCCTTCCATACTCCCCAGCTGAGCACTTAGGCCAGGTTTTGTCCACTTGAGTCATATCCTTCTTTTCTTCCTTATGTTGATTTAACTGTGCCATAAAAGTTTAACTTAAAAATTCTACTCATTCATTCAGTCAACTTTTATTATTACATGTTTTATATCAAGCATAGTGCTGTGATAAGTCTTTGAGATAGAACTTGTAAACCTTCTTAATGATTTTCAAGCAATACATTAATTTTAACTTTGTTTTTTAAAAAATAACATCTTGCTGGAGAAAGCAGCAAGCACATGGTTGGAAATATACCTCTGCACTCCACCGTTCTAGTTAAGGTTATAGAAAATGATTAAAAAAGAGGATTGTAAGAAAGGAAAGGACATCCAATATGATCTGGCTGAACTGCCACTATATTTAGATTTATTTACTTCTATAACTGAGTTTTTATTCTTCCAAATGCTGTATTAGCCTCTGGAATGACAAAGATGAAAAGAATACACGTAAGTGTGGGTCCCACCTTCAAGAACTCATAATCTCCTGGGACAGGTGCTCTTATAACTGAGCATAAAGCTGCATGTGATCACAGGGAGTACAACTGCCAAATTCACCCAGAGCGGAGAGAGACTGGAGAACTGGGGAGAGGCAGACAGTGCTGAATCTCAGAGGACTGACATTTAACACATAGAAGGAATCGCAGAAGCAAAGTAAACAACACAGTTCAACTTCGACAGACATTACTGACTGGGCTGCTTACTATGTGTTGGGCACCAGGGTTTCAAATACATGTGAAACACGGCTCCTCCCCTTGAGGATTTGCTGTTTAGTTGGGAAGACACGTGTAAAGTTGTGGCAAATGCTGTGGGAGAGAAATACACAGAGAGGTATGAAGAGGCATGGGCGCATGAACGCTGTGTGTGTCTTTGGGGAACAGGGGAGCATATGATGAAGCTGGATGAAATTAGGAAGAGCATGTGTAGGCCTGGAGGGAAATGAGACCCTGGGCGTGGGCTTGATCCACTGGAAGACCTTAACTGTGCCAGCAAAGGTTGTGGATTGTCCCGTGCAGCAGCAGAAACTCTGAGCTGTGTAAGGAAGGAAAAGGGGAACGTTCTCAAATTACACTGCTTGGGTTCAGATTCCTGCTATAACCGTGACTACATCTGTGATCTGGGATAAACGGCTTATCCTTCCTAAGACTCAGTTTTTGTGTCTCCAAAATGGGAATAATTCTATACACGGGAATAAATAAGATAGCATATTTATAATATAGTGTCTGGAGCATAGCATTCACACCATAATTCAGCTATAATATAATAAGGATCACTATGGTATATTAGTGTAAAATATAGTATATTATTATTGCTATCATTATTATTATTTTTATGATCAGATCCATGGTTTAGAGGAATTCCTGTGGTGATTTTCTTAAGGATTAGCTGAGGCTTGTGCTTCTCAAACTGGGGCAATACAGAATAAGTATAAAATACCTTCCCTATTTTACTCAAATATTTGGAGAGAAATATGTTCAGATAAACATTGGTATATGAAGGAATAGATTTAAGAAAGAGGTGCTAAAGACATTTAGGGCACACGATGGTGTGCCCCTTGGCTGAGAGTCCATGCTCTCCTTCCAGGAGAGCTATTTGGGCATGATTTCAGGAAAGCATCAGCCTACAGTTGTACTGTCTAGCCTGTGGCTTCTTGATTTTTATTCTATATTAATTAATATATAAGTAAACAAAATGGAAAATTTTAGCTCTCCAGTTTTACACATCTTATTTCAGCCACTCAACAGAAGCTGGCTACTCCAATAGGAGAACAGAGAATATTTATTTTCCTCATTGTAGACAGTGCTGTTGGACAACTTTAGTAAGGCCATTATACAATAGACCGTAGTTCCTCTAAACCCGTTTCAAAAAAAGCAATGACACTGAGGATGGAACAAAAGGGATAGATTTGAAAAATAGAGCTGGTAAGACTTGCTCTGGGGCCAATCATCCAGTGAAGGGAAAAGAGTGAGGGGAATTGAGAATCACTCCCAGGTTCTGGTGTGTGTTAGGTACTCAAATAGTTAAAGAGTGAACAAACAGTTGAAGGGATGAGCAAATTAGCAAATATAATGAACTTTGTATCTATGGTGGTATTATTATATAATGTGGGGAGAAATGAAAATGAAGTTGGTTTGAGTGAAATATGATACTTGTCTTAGAAACAGTTTGTTGGAAGTGTCTGGGATATGCAGTGGCAAATGGACGCAGTGGTAAATGGGGTATTGACGCTTAGGAGAGGCATTTGGGCTGTCCTTTGAGTTGAGATAACATGTTTGATGTTCTGTGGTGCCTCCACTCCTCATTCTTGAATCACTGTGATTCCAAAGCTTCATTCCTAAAATTTCATTGACTTCCACATTTCTTACACTTACCTGGATACCCAACAATCAAAGCTTGTGGTTGGCTTGACATAACAAGTGTTAACTCACCAAGCTGAAAACACTTCCAGCCAGAGCAAAGAAACCAGGCATCTTAGTTCAAATAACCTTATTGTCAGAAGTATATTATTTTCCCTGGGTTTCTTGAAATTCTGTAAACTCCTCATTCTGGGGTTTCAAAGGCCCTGGATGGAGACAGGCCCTGCAAGAGATGACCAGGGCTGCCGTCAGAGTAGATGCGACCCCCTAAAGGAGGACTGCGCGTCCCCAGGAGGAGTCAGGAACAGCTGTCTGTACAATCCCAGCACCCCAACTCATTCCAGAGAGGCTTCCTGTGAGTTCAATTGGAAGAGTCCCAAGAAATACACTGTAATGCTAGTGCAAACAACTCCCAATTAGAGGAGCCTTCAGAGGCCAATTCCCCAGGCCTAAAACAACTGTTTTCTTGAGGCCAAGAGGAAGCCAGAGGTTATCTAAAGACTAGCCTGGAGACTGGGTTAACCACTTTTAGCCACCTTCCTCAAATTCCCATCATGCAAGAGCTTTTAATACATATTTCCTTTTTAGTTGGGCCTTTTAATCTAATCTGCCCAGTTTCTGATGCTGGGTGACCCAGAAACTCAGCATGATTTGGGAGAGTGACTTGGGCCTGGCATAATCTGGACAGATGTGGTTAATACCAATGGACAGATGGTGTTCATCCGGTAAAATCAGGCACTTTATTGTGTTAATTAATCCAAGTGGGACCCTGAAAATACAATATTAGCTGAATTTTCTGTCTAGCAAGGCGATCAGTGCTTTCCGTTGGCTTAAATTGGAAAACCTGATATCCTGGCATAACCAGGGATGTTCTGGAAATTTTTTTTTTCCCCATAAGGAAAAGGTTTTGATAAAAGCAAAAAGGCAAAAGTGCTAAGGAGCTAATTTGAAGATAGAGGCCCTGCCCCCTCGAGGAGGGCCTGCAGACAGCTGCAAGGAGTCCAGCATCCCTAAGCAAACCCCAGCTATCCCCAGGCCTTAGCTGGGAAGAGGCCATAAAGTGATTCTCACTTTAAATTAGTTCAATTAGCACTTTTTTTTTTAAAGCATAAAAATGCTTTTATTCAAAGAGTGGTTTTCTTCCTTTTAGCAACCTGTATGTTAAAAAGATTTCTCTGGGCTTGTGTTTCACCATTTAGCAGCTGTTCCTTCTTAAGAAGTACCGTTTCTCTTCTTTTAAGGAAGGTCAAGCATTCAGGGGGTTAATTTCCATCCCTTCCTGCCCCTTCCCCAAGCCTTTTAAAAATGTTGCATGTGCTTACTTGGGGATAGAATAGAGAGAAAATGATAACTTATTTTTAACTTGTGGCTACAGAGTCTCTGTGTAATTGCCAGGAGGCAATTTCTATATAAAAAGAGGCTGGGTTTTGTACTCAGGCAGACTTGAATTAATATTTTAGCTCTGTAATGTACTAGCTGAGCAACTTTTAAACTCAGCTGTTCATTGGTAAGTGGGAATAACCGTAGCTACCTCACTAGTTGTGAAAAACGAATAATTTGTATTGATGGCTCTGAAGGATCAGATCTGAGGCCTGGGGCCTGGTAGGAAGAATCCCCAGGAAGTCCCAGCATTTGTCTTGTACTAGGCACTGTGCTGAGACCTGTCCATATATTAACATGATCTCATTTCTCCCTTCCTCTCACCCCATGAGGTTGGTTTGACTCTTTCGACTGTCATTTGAAGAAGCTAAGGTTTGGAGAGGCGTTCCAAATCACCCCGCTGGTGTTGTTTGTCTAGGGCTCAAAACCAAGATGGCAGGTTTTGAAACTTCCTGCTGCTCACCTCTCTGTATAAATAGGTGTGACTTGGGGTGGCGGCGAAAAAATAAATAAATAAAATAAGTAGGTGTGACTGTTCTGCTCAGTGTCCCACGGTGAGCACAGTGAGCAATACAGCAAACACCTTCAGAAATGCTTTCCGCATCCAGCCCCTCAGAGCACGTCTCCTCTCCTTCACTCAAAAACGTGTCTTCTCCCAAATGTGGATCTTCTCCTCTCCCTTTTTATGTATTTGTTGTGAACTTCTTTTTTTTTTTCCCTTGTCATTGTGATTTCCTTGCTCTTTATGAAGGCGGAAGAGACGAAATTTCAACAAGCAAGCAACGGAAATCCTGAATGAATATTTCTATTCCCATCTCAGCAACCCTTACCCCAGTGAGGAAGCCAAAGAGGAGTTAGCCAAGAAGTGCGGCATCACAGTGTCCCAGGTAAGCATCCTCAGAGGGCTCAGCCACAGTGTCCCAGGTAAGACATCCTCAGAGGACTCAGCCCAAAGCCTGGCCGCAGTGGTGTTACAGGGCAGGGTCTTGGAAGCCTGGCTTTCCTGAACTTTCAAGCCCTATAAGTTCCACCAACTAAAGCCTTAAAACGGCAAGGTCAGCTCATGGTGTGTATAAGCAAGTCTCCAGGGAAGTAACCTGGAAGAAACAGCAGACATAGAAGACTTAGTGGAGTACGGTTAAAGCAGGATTGGAGCTCCTCCCTCTGTGCCCCTTTCTTCAGAGAGATGAGGATTTCTACATTGACTTGGAGAGCTACCAACACTTCTCAGGTCATTTTCTCACACAGAGTCAATTCCTTGGCCTTTTTTTTTTTTTTTTTTTGCCCAACTCAGGAAGTTTTTAAGAGTCAGTGAATGGAACTTTTAAATGAAAAGGACTCAAATGTCCTCTCTGGATGTCCTCACTCTGTAACTGATGGAGTGTAGGATTTTAACATGTCACTATGATTGCACTGGAATGATTGCACAAAATGTCACTGAGCGTCCCCTTTCCCCCAAGAGCAATAACCATAACAGGTGCCTGTTGACGTGGAAAGATACATGACATAAAATTTTTATGGACCTGGAGTCTTCAGCATTAATATGAAGTAGAAAAGGAGGCAAGTTTTATATGTATCTACTTTTTTTTTCTTTGGCTAAACCATGTGGCTTGAGTAATCTTAGTTCCCCAAGCAGAGATTGAACCTGGGCCCTCGACAGTGAAGGTGCTGAGTTTTAACCACCAAACCAGGGGATTCCCATCTACATTTTGTGTACTCAGAGAATCCACCCATACTTCTTATTTGATCTGAACCTCAAATGCCAACACCAGTCTCAAGTTGAGACCAGTAGTGATAGTTCTGAAATCTCTCAGAGAAAGTTTTCCTCAGAATTATGTCACATGCAAAAGAATTAGATGTACTGGTATTTACAAAAAGGGTGAGGGTGAGGGGGAATTGGAGAGAAGAGGCCTACTTTAGTAAGAAACTTCACTTAACATTTTCCAAAAGAAGTAGATGCTGTTTTGTGAGCATCTAGGCTTCCTTGAATTGAATCCTGGCTTCTGCTACTCCCACCAGGTGCTGATTCCTTCAGCCTGTGTTTAGCTTAAGCAGAATTAGGTCTAGTCAGAATAAAGAACTCCACACAGAGGATCTGCAATGAAGATATTGCCAGGGTCTCCCCAGCATGCTGTGGGTGATTTTGCAACAGTCTTGAAAACCTCCTTTCAGATAAGTTAGAAAGGATTGCCTTATCCTTTTCAACTTGTACCTTCCTCAGGTACTTGGACCCAGCTGAAGGTCGTTGTTAGTCTTGGCAACCCTAGGGAAGTAGGACATCAGTGGTCTAAATTCAGGTGGTCTGGTATTACCTAGGTTTCTAACCATTCTTGTCCAAATCTAGACCCATTGTCCACAAGAAAAGATAATTAATGTTTTTTGATACTTGCTGCATTTTTGCAGAATAGTTCCAGGTGTGAACCACATCACAAACAGTGGATTTTAGTCACAGGGTATTCTGCTATTAAAGCTGAAAATCATTATATTGTTTGAATTCAAAATCTGAGACTTGGAATTCCAAATCCCTATTGAAATAGAAGGAATTTTCCAGGATCTAGTCTGCATTGTATCTGAATAAAAAATGGAATCTTGGCCTATTCCAGCAACCTTTGCATCCTTCATTATGGAAATCCAGGGTGCAAATAGTTTGTTCATTGAAGTGATTTATACATATATTGCATCACCTTTGTCTTTCCCCCATCCATCCCAAGGCCATATCATTCTACATTCCCAATTACATCACTTCTTCCCAATCATAACCAGACTGTTTTACCATTGCGGAACAAGTTTCAATGGGAGAAAGTATGGTATCATAGAAAGAATCTTTGCTAGGAGCATGTTGACCCATGCTGAGTCAACCATGGGATTTTAGGGAACTCGCTCTTTCTATTTGGGTTTGGTTGCCCCATCTATCAGTCATGGTTGGTTGGACCACATGATATACTAAATCTCTGTCTCTTGTTCTCAAATCTAGTAGATGCCTTTGACTCTCATCTTGGGTTTTGTGTTTTGGTTTGTTTGTTTCTTTGGGTTAATGATAACCCCTCCATCTTGAAATTCTCCTACTTTGGCTTCCTTGACATTGTTCTCTCCGGAGTTTCCTCCTTCCTCTTAGGCCACTCCTGCTGAGTCTTCTTAGAGGATCTCCCATCTCTACATATCCTAGCCCCATCTCATCATGTCCCAGCCCATTAACTATATTCTGACATATATTTTTTTAAAATTCACTTACTAATGAGTCTTCCTTTGAATCCCAAATGAAAATGTGTTCATACATTGAAACCTCCCATATGTTTATATAGATATATGTGTGCACATATATATAGGTATAGATATAGATATATCTGAATCACTGTGCTGTACACTTAACCCTAACCCAATATTGTAAATCAGCTACACTTTATTTTTTTTTTAATTTCTTGGGTCTCACCCGAGTCCTGAATAAGAATTTCTGTTGGGAAGGAGGGCCTTCCCAGGTGGCACAGTGGTCAAGAATCCATCTCCAACACAGGAGATGTGGGCTCGATCCTTGGGCTAGGAAGATCCTCTGGAGTAGGAAATGGCAACCCACTCCAGTATTCTTGCCCGGAAAACCTCATGGACAGAGAAGCCTGGCGGGCTACAGTCTGTGGGGTCACAGAGAGTCAGACACCACTGACCACACATGCATGAATGGGGAGCGGGAAGGAGAAGAAGCTAGGACTCTGTCTTAATGAGCCCTCCAAGAACCCCTGACTTTGAAACTTTGAAAAGCACTGTTCTACACATTTAATTGGAGTGAGCCCCTCCTTGCTCACAGCTGCAAATATACTTCTCTTAGAATATCCCCATGAGACTTCTCTACTCGGATGCCAAACTCATATATCTCACTTTCCACCAGACTTCACCATGGCTCTGCCCATGCCAGATTGTTCAGAATGTGAATCAAACCTCTCTGATTCCTTCTGCATTAGTTGTCTATCTCTAGTACCTAGCACATAGCAGACCCTTGTCAGTGACTCTTGAACAGTGAATTAATTGTCGAAACACTGATTCTATACATTGTTGCGGGCATATGATATCCCCCTAGTGGTTCATGTAGGAAATGCCTGAATTGACCCTGCATCTTCCCTATATATGAGGATCTGTTCTCCTGTAGAAGGTAATCATCTAGGAATGGTCTGTTCTCCACCCTTTTCCTTCTCACCTTTCATGTAACTGACAACAGGCATTTCCTTTCCTCCTCAAAAGTCATTCCAAACTATCTTCATCTTTCCCACTTTCTTCCAGCTCATCCCGTTGCCTCAGAAAAAACTCTCCTACCTCTTTTCCTCTCTGTTCCTCTTAAAAGTAAAAAAACCAACCATGATTATGATTGATTCCTAGGAATAGTGAAAGTTACATCAAGAAAAACATATGAGTTTGAGAATGAAATGAGGTAGGCAGCAGTCCTTAACTGGACTCAGAAGTGCCTTTCCTCTTCTAGTTGGACTCTTACTGTAGGCCCCAGCATTTACAATAAATACACCTTTTTCTGGATTTTTTTTTCTCTCATTTACTAATATTGCAATGATATGGTTTGATTTTTACAACAGAGGCTTGTCCTTTCTGCTACAGTATAAGCTATTTAGGTCTATTAGGGGATAGCCCTTTACGATTCAAAATTTAGCTATTGCACTTTAAAAATAAGTTTAGTTTTGCAAGAATTTTCTTTATCTGCCATCGTTGGGATAAATTAAGCTACGTGTAAAGCTGTGGTACGTGTGTTACCAACTTTTCCTTTTCTCATCAAGTTCATGGTTTGTTTTGTAATTGTATAAAATCGTATTTTAGTTTGAAATCACATCTGGAATATGGAGTATGAAACTCTTCCTAAAGCAGGAATCATGGGAATACAACTTGAATTTCACTGTGTTTCCACTTGTCTCTGGCAGAGGTCTTGGTGTTAAGGGAAGGGAACGAGTAAGAATCAAGCCAGGACAGCCACTGTGAGCCATGTGAGGAAAATAAATTAACAAATGAAAGTAAATTAGGTTTATTTTGTGTTTTGGCATTAACAGTTAAAGCCTGAAATGCAAAGGAATAATCAGCATTTTTTTCTCTCATTTACTAATATTGCAATGATATGGTTTGATTTTTACAACAGAGGCTTGTCCTTTCTGCTACAGTATAAGCTATTTAGGTCTATCAGGGGATAGCCCTTTACGATTCAAAATTTAGCTATTGCACTTTAAAAATAAGTTTAGTTTTGCAAGAATTTTCTTTATCTGCCATTGTTGGGATAAATTAAGCTACATGGAAAGCTGTGGTACGTGTGTTACCAACTTTTCCTTTTTCTCATCAAGTTCATGGTTTGTTTTGTAATTGTATAAAATCGTATTTTAGTTTGAAATCACATCTGGAATATGGAGTAGGAAACTCTTCCTAAAGCAGGAATCATGGGAATACAACTTGAATTTCACTGTGTTTCCACTTGTCTCTGGCAGAGGTCTTGGTGTTAAGGGAAGGGAACGAGTAAGAATCAAGCCAGGACAGCCACTGTGAGCCATGTGAGGAAAATAAATTAACAAATGAAAGTAAATTAGGTTTATTTTGTGTTTTGGCATTAACAGTTAAAGCCTGAAATGCAAAGGAATAATCAGCACTGTGCTTCAGATTTTCCTTATGTAGATAACACCAAGCTTCACACAGAATACTTAGTGAAATTTATTGGATTGAATTATATTGATCCTAAGGTCAGCAGTAGTACAGTACAGCTAAGAACCTAGTCCATATTAAAGTTACTTAACTAATAAAAACGGGAAATTAATCCATCCATGAAAGCACCCATATGTTGATATAGATTTATATGGATATTTAAAGGTCTGTGTATTTTGATTGCCTAGAGTCAGCTTTAGCATTGGTAAGTAACAGGCATTTCTCCTGAAATGCTAAGTTTTTTAGTCATATATTTACGAGGTAAGCAGATTTAAAATGCTTGCCCTAAAGTAAAACGGTCCTAGTTAAATGAGCAGCTCCTCCATAGAAAAATCTTTGTCACAATGGTTTTCCTAGATTGTGTTATATTAAGCAAGAGAATCTCATTTTATATAGTTGTTCCACTCCAAGCCTTTTCTTCAGATCTTATAACTGATGTTGAGAAATCAGAGCTAGGATAAGACCAATGAAACCCAACTCTTCAACTCTCTCATAAACTCTTCTGTGATGTTTATGCAGGAGGAAGTGGTAACTTTCTCATCTTCTCTTAAATCTCTCTAGGTATCAAACTGGTTTGGAAATAAACGAATCCGGTACAAGAAGAACATAGGTAAATTTCAAGAGGAAGCCAATATTTATGCTGCCAAAACAGCTGTCACTGCTACCAATGTGTCAGCCCATGGAAGCCAAGCTAACTCACCCTCAACTCCCAACTCAGCTGGTTAGTGTTTTCTTTGATTTGGGGGAATGGTTCTCCATTTTTATATGTACTTTCCCTACACTGGGGTTTTCTTGTTTTGGATGAGTTGATTTATGTGTTTGATTGTCTTTTTTTATCATTGATGCTACTTTGGGTTTTTCTTTTTATTTTCAAAACGCAATGTGTTTTGCTGTTTTTAAGATAGGCTGGTCTGAGGGTTTGCAGTCATGTGTCTGTTTAAGTTGGACAGAGGTAAATTGATTGGTTTTGATAAGGAGACCTCTAAATTCTCCTTTCAGATATTTTAATAAGTAAGCTTGACCTAATACTTTGAGGTAGTCTCTTGGGGTTCACACATTTAGTTTGTCTTGTATATCTATTGCTGTTCCCATCACATGATGTCTGAGTCATTTCCTACCATGCATTCTATGCAGGAGTATTCACTCTTCTTTAAACATCATTAGTATGTTCTGGTCTGTAGAGCCAACTATGATTATTGCTATCAATTGTTTATTGTTGTTGTTCTTTACTATTTTACTGTGTTGGTTTTCTTTATGTAAACTACAAAGAAAATTGCCAGTCATTAATTCAAATGATCCAGATTCCAATTTTCCTATTATAGTATCTGTCATGTGCTATGCTCCTGGTTTTATTTTAGCAAATGTGCATTATATCACTAATTTCAGAGTTAAGGCTAACATAATATGTTTTAGGAGTGTGCCAGTTCTTAATTTCCACATGTGAAAAAAAATCATCTGTAATACATAAAATATAACCTTGGTGTTTGTACGCTTGGTATTTGTGGAAGGTATCCATGTTGGTGCTTTATTAAAGGGAAAACCAGAAGAATTTCTTATTAAATAATTATTTATGTATTAATAGTTAATATTAATAAAAGGCAGGTTACAATATTTCTCCCCATAGTGAACCAGATGCATTGATTTTGGCTATGGGGTGCACATTTAAGAAAATTGATGCCTTCAACTTTAAAAGGTCACAGATTTAAATGCGTTAGGTCATAATATGATTTTTCAATCTAATTTCTAACATTTGGGGAGATTTGCGGTATCTTTGACCTCCCAACTTGTTTACCCACTAAAATAAGCTATCTTTCTGCCTTATGGTAGATTGTTATTGGAGATATGTAAGGCTCCACACACTAATGTTTTCTGTGAGCTTCTGGACACTTCTAATTTGTTATCATAAGGTTCTCCAAGTCACAGGTCTGTACCATCACAGACTTCTTTTGTTTAAATGGAATCATGCAAGAAGAGTGGCCTGGGCTTTGTAAACATGGATATGGTAAGACAATGTAGAATTCAATCCAGTTTTACTTTACCCAGCACTCCAGATTAGGTAGGGAGCATATTTGCTTTTTGAGGTTTTGTGTATGAGTGTGTATTTCCTTCTTTTCTCATCAAAGTTTTGTTGACAAAAGGATCAAGACTAACAGGTTCAGTAACCAAAGAGTTTCCTTCTTTCCCATCTGGTCAATTATTAAGCATTTCAGACCCAACAGCACCAGTTGAATTGCACTGCTAGGCAGACATTTTCACTTGTCTTTTTGGAAGAAGTTTTATTCTGTCAACATTAGCAAAAACACACTCAACACTCTTGCAAAGGTTATCATAATGCAAAACAGATATCAAAATGACTTTTTCCTGTCCCTGATATATCTGCCTCGCAGATGGCTTAGCATGATTTATGACTAGTCCTTAGAAGGGCCCCATGGACTCCCTTCATTACTAAGTCCGTAACTTCTTTATTCTTTCCTAAACCACTTAAAAAGAGAAAAGTAAGCATTTTAACCCCCTCATCTGTGTTTAAGAATTATGTTGGCTCTCTTGGAATGTCAGTCTATGATTACAGTTTTCTGAGGAATTTTTCTGGTGGCTTAACCTTCATGTGACTATTCTGAGCACAAAGTAAATTATTATGGAAAATTTGAGCTAAGCTTTCCAGTGGTGCCTGAGTTGTTGGAAATAATATGCAGAGAAATCCCTTTGTATTTTTCTAAAATAGAGACAAAAGAAAATACTATTGTATGTGTGCAATAGCATGGAATTTTAAAAGATAAATGTTCTAACAAAAAAATTTATAAATGGGTTTTTCTATATTTTCTTTGCTCTTAACACAACCCAAATCTCTACTCAGATAAAGGGAGAACTTTCAGCTTTTCACATAGTGTGTTTATAATGTTGTATACCAGCTCCTTGATAATGTCAAAGAGTAAATGATAACTGATAGAGCAAGTTTTAAATAAGAGGGTAGTAAGCGAAAACATACTTTGTTTGAGTTTGAAGTCCAGAGTTCTGAAACCTGGAAACTTTTTATATCCTCAGTATCAAAGCAAGAGTTTTTCCCAGAAGCTTTACTAAATATAAATACTTATTTCTACTGCAAGATATTTTGCAAGTAAATCTTCTTCCTTATAGAGGCTTTTGTGTGGAGAGCAGTATTTCACCATCTTTATTTAGGCCACTTCTAAATATTCCTGTTTGTTGTTATATGTCCAGCCTCCTATTTCCTTAGGCATGATTCATAAAAGTCACACAGGGCTAAGTCCTGTGAGGAATTAGCAAGCATTTAGAGATACTTGGAATGCTTCATATTTTATGCCAGCAGACCTGGGCAAAATGGATGGAACAAGGATGAAGAATAGAAAGAAGACAAAAAAATTAATTGTTTTGGAAAAAAAAGAAATGGGGACCAATTGAAGCATAGTTATAACCCTGGGTCCATAATTCCGGAGTGAACTAAAGTGATGCCTTTTCAATTTCTTATTTTTGATGGACTGATGAAAGCCAGAGTTAATATGTCAGAAAAATAAGGCACTTTTAGGAAGGTTGGATTATCTACTAGGAAAAGTTGGAGAACTTTTTAATATCTAAGAAGAAAGAAATTGGCTTGTGGGTTATAGATATTTTCTGTAGCATGGTATCAACATTGATATCTTATCAGAATCTGTGATTAGCTCAGCAGTCCCTGTATTTTTGAGGCTCAGCGCCCATAGGTTAAATCATTTTGCTTAGCTTTGTGTGTGTATGTCAAGGACAAAGGAGATTCAGCTATGACGATTCTTCTGCTGACACTACAGTGGCAAGCTCTAAACTCTTTTATATATTCTTACTGTACTCCTAAAAGGAAGTTTGGTGTTTTGAGGGATTGGTGGAAGATTATCATGTTAAAATGTCTGGACGCTGGCTTCCTAACAGAAGTTGATATATAGCACACATGGCCAGAGAGAAGGTGACACATCCAGAGAAGTTTACTGACACTTGCACTAAATCTGTAGACACCCGCATGGTTTTGTTTTTTAAAACCAAGAGAAAGAATGTATCCCATTGATGTTTTCTGCTGTGTTCCTTCTTCCCATGTTTCTACCCTTAATCTCTAAGTGGAGGATGAAGGCACAGCCTCCTGCAAGTGCAGCTACTAAAGCGGTTTCATACTGAACTAGATAAACATTCCCTCTTGTACTTTGCCCTGAGTAGAAAGTAACAATGATTATTTGATTTTGAGAAGGGAAAATCATGGAAAATAGAGAAATGAGCATGATAGAGTTAAGCTTACATTGAGCAAACAGGCTCTGTCTCCCAGCATTCAAATGGTATAGGAGTCCAGTCTGATCAGACTGGCTCCCTATTCTATGTGGAGCTTTGATGTCTAGACTGCAGAATTTAAGGCAACGCTTGCCATTCGTCTGCTTCCTAAAAATGCTGTGAGTTGTAATGAGCTAATGTTTTAAACACCCTGAGCTCCTTAGGAAGGAAAAGGAAATCCATTTTTGTTTCAGGTCACTTGTTCTCAGTTGGGGTAAACTTGACATTCTTGGCTGTCACAGTCGTCGGGGGAAGGCGTTCCTGGCACCTGTTGGACAGAGGCCAGGGATGTGTTTGACCATCTTACGATACATAAGATATTCCTCTGCAACGAAGAATTATCAGGTCGAACATGTCAATAGAGCCAAGGTCAAGAAACTCTGCTCTGGGTTTAGATTTTATGATTATTATACTTTTTTTTTTTTTTGGATTTTTGAGGTTAGCTGAGTTTTTGTTTTCTAAAGAAATTTAATTCTGGAAACTCTTTAGAGTAAAAATAGAGTGTTCAGGAAATTGTCTTATGAAAATGGATGTTAACACATCTCCACATTGTGTTTGAGTGAGCAAATGCATCAAAATCCATAGGTGATCTATTACTTCTCTGTTTAGTTGAGTGCAAATTTAGTTTTGTATATGCCCCCCAATGTCTAGATTATAGTGTAAATGAGCCACTTGCCTCCCTCCCCAAGCCAAATTCAGAACCATTTAAGTGGTAGGCATGTCTTAAATTGTGCTTCTAGTCCTTGCCATTACTTTATAGCCACCGGCAGGTAAGGGTTCAGACTGACATTCTCAGCAAACCAGGTGATTCTGTTTTAGTTCTTTGAGAATTCCGCAGCACCTCTGAGAGAGCGCATGTACTATTTGTCTATGGGGTCGCATCCTTCCCAGGAGGTTATCCAATCTAGTATAAGTTCTTTCCAGCTTCCAGTGCCAGATGAAGACTGTGTCTTCCCGTCATTATTTAGCTTTTTGTGTGGCCTTGTGTCTGCTTCGTTGCAATATTCGTGACACCAACTCTCTCCCCTCAGTGCAATAACTGCCTCTGGATACTTATCAGAGAGGCAGAAACCGTGGCGCTGTTGTACACGGCTGTGCAGAGACGATGGAATGCTGAAACAGCACGGCCAAAATCACGGGGACCCTTCTGTAATTGCTGCTCTGATTCAGATTCATTTGTACATGAAGTGCATTCATATGCGCATATTTGTCTCTCTGTACATTAGGCAGCCAGACATATTTACAGTTTATCTATGCACATGTATTTTTTTTAAATCATCTGTGTCAATTGCAGTGTCTGTCTTGTAAATGGCACATTCCGTGCCTTCATGGTTCTATGGATGCCGTGTTCCTTGGCGTCAACATAGCCCTTTGGGGCTTTCTTCCATTTCTCAGTCTGTGTGCTAATTTCCAATAAAGAATCAACCAAGCATATAGAGTGTCTGTTTATTACATGGTATTTGGTTGGGAGAGAAATAGAATACCTGAGCTTCAAACTGAATACTCTCAGGGGAAAAAAATCTGATTCATATAAACAATTATAATTTGGGTTCTCAGAGCTGCTGGGTCTTGACTCTGAGGACATCTGCATGTGGGCATGTGATGTAGTACTATAAAGGTATTAAATACTATTTAGATTATGTTGCTGTGGTCGAAAGAAAGATGTGAGAGGGATGTAACTATAGATCACATATTATTTATCTTAACAGAAGAATGTGATCTGTCCTATACACTACTTCACCTACGTGTTAGGGAAGACTGTTTGACAGATTTGCACCACATTAATGGAAGGAAAGCCCAGACCAAAGCCTCCGCCCACTGACTGGGTGTAAACCATACCTGACCGGATCTTGTACTTATTTTGCCTAAGACCCAACTTTTCTAATTCCTTTCAGAGAAACTAAACCTAGAAATGTGTGCCAGATGACATACATAAGACATGCTGCAGAGTCATGAGAATGTCATAGTTCTTTGGATGGTGCTTGCCTTGCCCCCTACCCCTCAAAGCAGTCCCTTTTTCACAGGAGAAGGGAATAAGAGTGGAGGATCTGTCTACATAGAATATTAATACTGAGCTGGTCCTTGCATATGGATTAACACCCCAAAGAACAAAGCAGGGAGGAGATGTTTCTTACCTTGAGGTTTTCCCCAGGTAAATTGTCCTCAAGTAAATCATCTGGTCACTAAATGACTCTTATCTTGGAAGGATGAGGGTACCATAAAGAGTTAAGGAAAGTGGCAGAGTTTAGAAATCACCGCTAGTTAAGTGGTCCTTCCATGGAACAAATAAACAAGCAAACAAACAAAACCTCCTGTTCTGCTTAGCTGCAGCTCTTCATGTGAGATGAGGCAGCTCTCTAGGATAGCGCAGATCCCCGTCTTGGGAGAAAAGAGAGAGTCAGAGCTGGGGCATGAATCATTGTTGTGTGATTCCACACGGATGATGGTGGTCTCAGAACTCAAGGGCAGGCGTGCAATTTGAGCACTAGAGGGATGGAAAAAATAGAGTGGAACTGACCTGGGTCCCTGAGGTCTCTCCTTTTCCAGGCTAATGTCATGTTTTAACCAAACCTTGCACGTCAAGCTTTCTTTCCTAATGCGCTGAGCTGCACGGTGACTTCAGAATAATAATAAGTTTTTCCACAGCCTTGCGTTTAGGTTGAGGGGGGGACTAGGTTTACCATAGTGGAACCAGTGGAACCCGGGTGGTGCCTGCAGGCTGAGTCTGGGAGAAAACGTCATCTCTAGGAGGTGAAAACAGATGGTTAAATACTCTTCTGGAGACCCACTTGATCATTATTATTATAATTTCATATTCCATGCATGCCTGAGAATTCCTGGTTCAATTTCTGTCTCATCTTCCTCCACGATGGCAGGTGGCAAGAAGAGCATATTATTCCCATGTATTTTTGCAGTCTTCTTGGCTCTCTTAGACTGTTTGCCACCCAGAAGGAGACATCATCTTCTTTCTAGAAAGTCAGGAATGTCAGTGACTTGTATCCCAGAGCGAGCCCTACTGTGCAGCGTTGCCTTTGTGCCCTCCCACCCCCAGTTCTGCTCCTCGCATGAGGGTAGATGGGTGTAGCTTTAGCTTATTTAGAATCTAGCTGACAGCTGCTCCATCCTGGTGGCCGAAGTATCACTGACCAGCCCATAGTCTCCAGCTCATGGTCCCCCAGCCAGTCCCAGAATTTTAGAGGCACGAAAGAGGGATCCAGTGGCTGGAAACTGTCTCCAGTTCAAATAGACCAAGTTGAGAAAATACATGTTTCCTTTCTCAACTTAAAGTTGCTAAGGGGAGTCAGTCCTACAGGCAACTCGCAGGGAGATGTGGGCTTTACATAACATGAATGATATGCACCCTTTATTGCTTGCTCTGTTCTTCATGCTACTAACCAGACTCTGTTGATATTGTTTTGATTTTAGTTTTGTTTGGGGGGGTTGCTTTGCATGTCGTTCTTCCTCTTGGCTGTTAGTTGCGGGGGTTGAGCCTTTTCCTTTCTGTGATTCAGGTGCCTCACTCTTTCCTTTCCAGGTTCTTCCAGTTCTTTTAACATGTCAAACTCTGGAGATTTGTTCATGAGCGTGCAGTCACTCAATGGGGATTCTTACCAAGGGGCCCAGGTTGGAGCCAACGTGCAATCACAGGTAGGGACCCAGCCAATGTGCCGCCAGGTGAATGCCTTAGAGTCCAAGAGCCGTCAGTCGGATCGGCACTTCCTGCTTCTGTCCAGACAGAAAGAGACAGAGAGATATAGAGACAAAACCTTACCAACAACCAAACCAAAACAAAGACAACCACTGTCGTGGGGAATCTTGTCCACACTTTGTGAATGCATTTGGCTCTGGCTTGTCAGTCGTACGAGGAAGGCAGGAGAGGAGGAAGCGCAGGGTGAGGTGACCGAGGCGAGTGGACCCCGTGTGTTCTTTGCTCACAGAAGGGAAAGGGGGGAGTTCAGGCTATCGGCTTGCTTTCCAGGTCTCTTTCTTGTCTGTTGGTTTTTCCACACTCAACATCTGCCCAATATGGAGGTCATTAATGACTAGGCACATACTTTAGTATCTCAGGTTTTCATTTTAACCTTGAAAAATACCCAGTCAGGTTGACTAAATTCATCTTTGTAGTCATCCTCGAGGTCAAGGGACTTGAGTTTCTGGTGACAAGTCTGGTCCATGCTGGGAAACGAAACTCAAGCTGTGTGGCGTAAGCCCTCAGCACGCCTTAGTCAGCAGCTCACCTTCACGACAGCTCAGAAGCCATCCTTCTGTGTGAGCACACAGCCTGACGTGACAGGGTGAAGTTGTGGGCTCTGGGTCAGGGTCGCTAGGGCCATTCCGAGCCACACCCACCCAGGGTCCCACCTGCATGAGGAACAAGAAGCATTATGTGCCTGGAATAGACTAACTAGCTGGTGATTCAGCCCCTTGCTTTGGAAACGTTGCCTGGCACCCAGTTTGAAGATACATAGTCAGACTTTGGCCAAATGACTAGACAACTGGCCATTATTTAAGTCCTCAAAAAGACAGCGTTAGTCGCACACTGTTCTCTCTGTGAGGTGGCTGGCTGGCCCTTCTAAACCGAACCTTGACTTTTATAAGCTCCTGAGCAAAGAAGTTATATAGGACGATCTGGAGAGAAGGGAAAAATCTTTGAATCTCCCCACTCACCCACTCCATCACCCAATCCCTGCTGTCTTATGCAACAGTAGTTTCATTGTTGGGAAACCCAGCTTCCTTTGACCGTTTTTCTGTCTTGCTTACTAAGCTCAGAAAGGATACTGGATTTGGCATGGAGTGGAGGCCAGCCTCCTAATGGTTCCTTTCCCAGGAAGAATATCTCCAGTGGTTGCATTAATTTGGCGTGCGGTAGCCTGTGTGGTGATGAGCTGTGTTCCTTACGCTGCACCTCTCTGACTAACCTCCTCTCTGTTCGTCTGTTTAGGTGGATACCCTTCGCCATGTTATCAGCCAGACAGGAGGATACAGTGACGGACTCGCTGCCAGTCAGATGTACAGTCCGCAGGGCATCAGTGTAAGAAAACAAGGCTCCCCCGCCCTCTGTTTCTGTTCTATCACTGCCAATTATTTCAAAGCCATAGGGCTCAGAATGCCACTTAGTAGGACTTATCTTAGCTTTACGGTCACCTAGCTTCTTGTTTCTGTATCAGTCATGCCATCGGCAGCATTCTACCCTCAAAAAACGTGGCGGTTGGGCAGGCTTCATGCAGGCAGCTGGCGTCTAGGGCTGTCAGACACAATCAGCGTTTGCATGGCACCTGCGGCCACATGCTTTCAGCTGAGAGGGACTGCCGAACAGGTGACACCTAGTACAGGGGTAGGAGATGTCGCCACAAGCAGGGACCCGAGAACCTGGTGGGGGAAGACCGGTAACCAGAATCCCTTGCATCCTGGTCTGTGGTCTTTAAAAAAACACCTTTCTCCCATCTAAGGATGATTTTTAAAAAATTAACGCAGAGGCTGGCGATGTTGAAGGGGTGGGGAGGGGTGCAGACCATCTTCTACTTGTTCTTGGGTGCACTGGCGGCTCCTGACTAGCATGAAAATTCATAGCGACAAGCTATGTCGCACAGAGTGAAATCGATCAGACAGACACACGGAGAACCGAGTGTAGATTTGGGACAGCAATCCAACTTGATTTCTCAGATCAATCGTCCGCTATCTCAGCAGCAGTGACAGCAAGCTGGGGCAAGAGGGCAGTCTGGAAAAGGAGGCTGTTCTTTGGATCAGGGGTGATTTCCTAGGCTTTTAGAGGTCATGAGATGCTCCAGTAGAACTATTGGCTCAGAGCTAGCTAGGGAAACTATGATTGGATGATGGTGAGGATTTTTTTTTTTTTCCGTTTCTGTTGTTGGGATTAAAATACATTAGGGATGGAAAGAAGGAAAGGTGGGCATCATATGTTAGTGTAATCCTCGCCTATACTAATTGAGGTATGGCATCTGCAGTGGAAATAGTGAGAGCTTTTCAACTCTACATTGGGGAAATTGCACATGACGATGGCCAGACTGGAAGGAAACAAGAGGCTACCAGCTGTGTCATCAGAGGAGGAATGGTTGAAAAAATTAGGAATTCTTAACCCATTAAAGAGAAGGTTTGAATGGTAAGTAAGAGTTTGAGACATGGCGTCCTCTGTGAGATATTGGCTTCATTCTGAATGATCTAAAGGGAGTAGGGTAGAATCCTGAGTAGAAACATTTCACTTCAACATCAGAAGGTCCTTTCTTACAGTCAGCGCTGTCCAAAGAAGGGGTCTCTTGCCTATGGAAGCCAAGGATTCCCCGTCATTGGAGCATTCAGGCCTGGTTTGGCTAACTATTAATACTTGGTCAGGATGTTGTGGAAGAGGGTTAAGTACCAGGTGGTGACTGTCTTGGTGACTTTCAAGGCCCCTTCCAAGTAAGAATTCTTTATTTTCTACCTTCCTTTGGCAAAATCTCCTCTGAATTTCTATAATATTTGTCAAGTTCCTCTCTGGGAGGGAAGTGGAAGGTCAAAGCTGACCCTGTTAAACATACTCTGGGCACCTGTGTCTGTTTTTTAGAAGGAGTTTCCAGAGCAGAAGGATTTTTCCCTTCTTGTGCTTATACTAATTATTATTCCTATATTCATGGCTGACTTGCCAGGTGCCTGCTTAGAAACATCCAAGACAGTATGATGGAGAATTCTGTTCTCAAAAATGGATTCCAAATGAATTAAGTTGTTCTGTGTTGGGGGAGTGGGGGTTGTTCAAGTGCATAGGCGTGTATACATTGGCTGGATCTTTTTGAGCTGGAAAAGTTTTGCTCTGCATGTAAGTGGATGAGAGGAACATGATGAAGGATAAGAGTGTGGGGAGGAGACTGTGGACACACTCAGAAAGAGAACTGAAGAAATGCTACGTGACTGGGCAGGAAGTTGGGCTGACAGCTATGCTACTTGGCATCTTTCCTAATTGGGCAGCACAGACGAGAGCCGCTCTCAGACTCAGGGGGCTCAACGTGGGCCCCTCTGACGTCATCTGGTGGGCTGGGAATCATTTCTGAAATAGTGTAGCCACACATGTGCAGACTATTATGTCTGATTACATAAACCCACCACAAAAACTGGGCTGGAAAATGCCACTTGAAAGAGTCTCATTTTGCATTAATTTTTTTCCCCTGTGAACTGTGTTTATTTTATTTCAGGGTCTTTAGTACACAGGGTAAATGAATCAAAGGCTGATCATGATACGGTCTGTTCCTTTGGTATCAGTTTTAAGTTGTGTCACCTGCAGGAGACTAAGCTTGTCAGAGCTATTTTTAGAGAGTGATATTAGATGCTGAGATATGTACAGAGAGGGTACTGGCTGCTAGGAGGAGAGAGAGAGAGAGAAAGGAGTGAGATGAGAAGAGACAAGGACAGGAATGAAAACTTTGAGCCAAGGAATAAAAATAAACAATTCCAAAACCCAGGGAGGCAATGGAATTCCCAGCTGGGCTCTGGATTGTGTTTCACTCAGTGGAGGACATTTTCTGGGCAGCCTTTATCTGCTCTCCTGCCTAGGTTTTTACAGCACCCATGTTGTATCCAGCCAGCGTCTATTTTAAATCTCATGGAGTTCAAACCACTTGCATTAACTCAGCCCATGCAGCAGTGGGGTCACAATGTGCAGTGGTGAGAACGCTGCCCTGGGAGTTGAGAGACTCTGGTCCTTGTTACTCTCGTGTCCATGCGAGACACGAGACATGTCTTTTATAAAATGGGGTAGTAATTCCCACTCTTAATACCTTCGTGGCTGCTTTAGGGGAAATAAGAACATAGGTAGGAAGGGCTTGGCAAAGCATCAAGTGTTGCACATGAGTGCAGAGGAAATGTTGTAAGTGATAACTTTCTAATTTGCCCTTTTCCCTGTGTGTGAGCAGTTGTCCCAGTAGGTAGTTCCTGGTGAAGATAGATTAGGACACAGTTGTCATTTTTTTCCTCTTCTGATGGAAAGGTATGCCTCTGAAAAGGATACAGAGCTAGACAAGGCTTGAGGACCCCCGTCCTCGGCCATGGTGAGCGTAAAATTACACCTCCTCACGTGCTTTGTGTTCCCAGATGACAACGGGCCATGTTCACTGGGTTTAGAGTGGTTCTAAGAGATGGAGGGAGACTAGTGCACTTCTCCGTCCATCAGACAGACTGAAAGATCACTTAGCTCTCAAAGCCACTCTTTCCTTTCCCATGACCACCACCCTCCTAGAAAAGTTTATTAGCTAGGCTATTGTGAACATTTCTTAATTACCATTACTGCCTTTAGTGTCTCCTTTCTCTTACCCACATCCCCTGAATTTTGTCATTCCTTGCCCAGAAATCATGAGCACGTCTCTATTGCCCACCTAAGAAAATGCAGTCCCTGAGTCTGACATTCAGAATCCTCCACTCTCTGGCCCCATCTACCTATCCATCCCCCTCATCCTGTCATCCAGTAATCTTTGGATGCCAGGCAATGTGGTCGGCTCACCTTTACCTGGCTACACATATCCCCCTACCTTCACACCTGTGTGTCATCTATGGAAATATCCTTTCTTCCTGTATTACCTTCCCTGTCCCACCCACTCCCCCACATCCCGCTGTCTGTCCCACACCCAGCTCCTCCTTGCGTGTGTCTTCTTAACCCTCCTTTCCCTCCTGTCTATCATACATACACATTCCCTTGCATTACAGATATGTGCACAGACACACTTAACGCTCTTTCATTCCCAAATGCATGTCCTAAAATGTATATATTAGTTGCTCAGAACATGTTTGTTGAATGAATAAATCAGACAGAAGGAGACAACCTACCACTGAATTTTAAAATGCCACATCTTACATAACAGCTGTAAGGGATCCAGTAATGACTTTTCTCTTAAATGACTTACTAACTCACAATAGGCTCTCTTTTTAACTCAAAAAGCTTTTTAAGTATTTGTTTTTGGAAAAACTTTTTGACCAAGGCAAATTCTCTGAGAATAAGAGTACAGTGATGATAAATAAATAAGCTGTACAGTGATGATATTTTCAAGAGAATTATCACTTTGGATTCCTTAATGCTGTCTTTCCTAAAAGAATCCCCTTACCAAAACCTGTTTGTGGGCTAGCCATCCACATAGCAAGAGAATATCTTTTCTTTTTCTAAAAAAATTTATTGAACTATAGTTGATTTACAATATTGTGTTAATTTCTTCTGTACAGCAAAGTGATGCAATTATACATATATATACACACACATTCTTTGTCATATTCTTTTCCATTATGGCTTGTCACAGGATGTGGAATATAGTTCCTTGGGCTATAAGTAGGACCTTGTTGTTTATCTCTCCTATATATAATAGGTTGCATCTGCTAATCCCAAACTCCCAGTCCTTCCTTCCTCTCCACCCCCCAGTCCCCCTTGGCAACCACAAGTCTGGAGAACATTGGTTTTTATGGGGTTCTCAATGCTGTCTCTACCAGACTTTGGACCAGAACCTGTACGAACAGGTTAAAGGTGGCAGCAGCTGGAAGTCAGGAAACTTGATTCTTCTTGTGGCTTCTTTCTGGCAAGTCTCTTCGTCTCTGTATCATTCATTCTTTCAAATTTTCCCAGTGAATAAGCTCTCAGGTCCTTTCAGCTTAGTTAATTCTGGAGTCCTACAAGTATGTTGTTTGATTTCTACTGTTCACTCCAGGGACACCAGGCTCAACCATAGGCTCCTCTCGCCAGACAGCTTTTTCACTTGACTTAGCCTCCACCATGCCTCCTCACTGCTCCATCACTTACCCCTCTGATCGGATCTTGAGGGAAGGAGAGAGCTTGCCTCATGTGAACGTCTCCCTTTGAATTCAGAGATTGGTGGTGGCAGAAAGCATTCAGTTTTTAGAGTGAAATAATTTATTTTTAATTATTTTAGAATGTGACTTAAGTAAGTTCACTCCAGTCCCCTCTTAAATATTGATAAGATAACCAATGTAAGAGTTTTCTTACGCAAAAGATGAAGTGAAAATGGAAATAAAGTGTTGGTAGTCTCTCTATAAAGGCAGAGTGCT